CCTCATGCTACAAGGCTCCCACATAGGCATTCAGGGGACAGAAAAAAACAAGAAGGTCATAGAAAGGAATGAGAAGGTCATTTCAAGTATGAGTGCACTTTTCCTGAATTTATACATATTTTGGAGATAAGGTAAGGAGAACATCCTTGATTTTATCAGTCATTTCTAATTAATGTATTACATTTGTCCAGAGATAAAGTGCAGTATAATGTTTTGCTCCTGGGAAGTTTTCCACAAAAAAAGTGCAGCATTTGGTCAATATCACTTTGAATTGTTTCTTAACACAGAAAGATATTCTGTAGTGTGAAATTAAATCAAGTATTTATAGAAAATACCACAGAACATATAGCAGCCTGTTTATTCCTTTCACGACATGCCATTATATACTGGAATATATTTATGGAAGGGTGTTGTTCTTCAACATATTCAATGTTATGAGTTAGCCCTCATTATAAAATTTCTCCTTCTTTGATAATAGAATTTTTAGCAGACACCTGCTTATCCAGAATACAGGCTCCATTTCTCAGCCCTTATTGCTAGGTGTGGCCATGCAACTAAAGTCTAGCACGTGAAATATGAGAGAAAAAGAAGTGTGTCCCGTCTGGGTTCTGCCTTTACACAGGAGTGTGTCCAACCCTGTACTCTCTCTTTTTCCCACTGTACTATTGACTTGACTATCAATAAGGGATCAAGGTGGTAGAGCAGTTAGATCAAAGAAGCCTAGGGTTTTGAAAACATAGAGGCTACATATTGGTCCAGAACTCTTTATACCCAATTATTATGTGTATGTGAGCATAAAGATATTGTTTAAGTCACTTTTATGCTGGTTTTCTACAACAGCAGTCAAAAGTACAGCATAAATGATATAGTTTAGTTTATTGTTGGACTGTGAGGTTTTTGTTCGAATGTGGAATTAGGTGTCTTCTCAAGGTTCAGATCATTTTTGCATATTTTGGAGTTTATATTGCTTTGTAATATGGTTTATGTTTTATGTGAGCAGATAAAAATATGTTCATACATTTATATAATATCATGGTTATGCAAAACTTTGGGGACTATTGAAATAGTCTCTAGAGAAGACTGAATTTTGAACTCTCTTTAATTAGCTAACCACCATCGAGAATAAATACACTATTTCTTTAAAAAAGTCTAACCTCAACTCTTTCCCTACATATTTTCCATCTTCACATCTCATTTGGTTTAAAGAGACCACTTCTTAGACTGACTCCCTCCTCCAGATTTCTGTGGAATTTGTCTCTGAGAATTGCTCTTAACCAGCTGCCTTACCCCAAAGACCCACCCACACTCTATAAGCGCTGGTCATATGCCACACGACCTTCTGACCCATTTGCTAATGTCTGTTCCTAATCTACTTGGTTTTCCTTTGATTTCAGAGGCTTCAATTCAATGATGTGTTTCACCATATTTAAGAGAATTATTAGCTTAAAAGATTAATATTTATATATCCTACAAATGCAGTCCTCTCCACTTGAGACTCTTAATAAATATATGTGTAGCTATCCGTGATGGCCAGAAATAACACTGGAAAACAACAAAAAAATACATCATGCAAAACAATGAATGCCTGCCAAGATTTATAGGTTTCAAGGAATGATAATGTATATCTGAAGTACAATGATATTTCAGTACCTTCTGAGGATCACTCTTAGAAGCTCTACTTTAGTTTTCTTCTTTTTTCCAAGTCTTAGAATCTTGATTATATCATGACCCCCCCCAAAGAAAAATCATGCTCATAAATTCAATGAAGGATTTGTTTCACTCATATGATCATCAGATAGTAAGCTGATTAAAGTTCTCCCACTAAAATTTTATTAGCTTATATTCTACTTCACCTTTTCATGCACTAATATTAAAGCTGTCACCATGGCTGACAAATAGTTTTACAGATATAGACAATTAAGCAAATTCTTTTCGGCATCTGGTACCTAACACCTTAGACATAAAAATGTGGCTTATGTGTCTCCCCAAAAGGCCTATCTCTTTTTAAACGACTTTCACGGGCATTAGGAATGGAATAGTTGATTGGAACTCTGGTCAGTATTTTGAAAAACTTTATAAATACTTGTTTCCATTTCGTAGGAGTGATGATAACCATAATAACTATTTAAGGGGTCATTTTGTGCCATGCAGAAAATGCTCCAAATAGTTTATGCATCTAATATTTTGTTTTTGTACTTTTGTTCATTGTATCTACTTCACCTATAATTCTATCACCTTTTATAAAAATTATATAGGATAAAAGGTGAAAATCCCCTGCTTCTACACTTTTAATTCTATTCTTTCAAAGTAACTGCTTTTTTTTTTTTTTAAAAGATTTTATTTATTTATTTGACAGAGAAAGACACAGCGAGAGAGGGAACACAAGCAGGGGGGGTGGGAGAGGGAGAAGCAGACTCCCCACTGAGTAGGGAGCCCGATGCGGGTCTCGATCCCGGGACTCCGGGATCATGACCTGAGCCGAAGGCAGTCGCCTAACCAACTGAGCCACCCAGGCGCCCATCAAAGTAACTGCTTTTAACAGTTTCATGCCTATTTAGCCAGAACTTGCATAGTCTTATTTAATCATATAGGGAGATTTATACCCCTGTCCCTATTTATATCTATATACACAAATTTTGTCCTCTAAGGTTGGTATATGTTAGACATAGTGGTCTGCTACTGCATTTTTCCACGTACACTATATCATGAGCATTATTAAGTCAATGCACACAGATCTCACTCTGGTTTTTTTAAACTTTTTTTTAAGATTTTATTTTTATTTATTTGACAGAGAGAGAGTAAGAGAGCACAAGTAGGGGGAGCAGCAGAGGGAGAGGGAGAAGCAGGCTCCCTGCTGAGCAGGGAGCCCGATGCAGGACTCGATCCCAGGACACTGAGATCATGACCTGAGCCGAAGGCAGACGCTTAACTGACTGAACCACACAGGAGCCCTCACTCTATTTTTTAATGGCTATATAGTATTTCAACTATAGATAAGCAATAATGAAACATTCTTTATTGATGGAAATTTAGGTTGCTTCTTTTTTTGTCAGTAACATACAATATAATGATGAATATCTCTGCCCATATATTTTTATGAATTTGTTTTACTATTTCCTTTGGTAGAGTTCTAAAATGGCTAGTTGCCAATTCAAAGGTATTTTAATATTCATTCAGTATAAAATAGAACAGAAATTCCTACAGACTTTGATTATTGAGGCTTCTCCCATAATCTTACTTGTCCAGAGTAAATCCTAAACTTGAAATTTTGCATTTAATCGGTTTATTACAAAGCATCCCGAATGAGCTATAGAGTCAAAGCAAATATTTGACCAGACAATGCCATAACACTTTAGAATGATGAAATGCTTTAAATAGAATATTTAAGTTAGAACTTGTAAATAGATTATAATTACAGCTCTCATAATGTAGCCATGCTATAGTGACATGTCCAAGAGCAAATTCTTTCCAGCATTCTTAGTATTGATATAAATGTCCAAGTGGTGAGCATATGTTTCTGGAATGTTTAATGTTTCTGTCGGCTGTTGGGCAAGGTTTGTCTTATTTTAGGGGAGCTCTGTCATAGGTCAGTTAATAATTTCTTATGTCATTATTGCATTCCCAACAGATTTGATAGGATAAATGGACATTTCTGAAAAAGTGACCAGAGCATGCCAATCATAACAACTTTATGGAGCATTAATATTTTAATACAATATATAAGGAAGGAAGAGTTTGCCAGAAGCACAGAATGCTCTGTTGTCATATAGTTTAAGCATATTGATCTTTGTTTTCAAGTCTTTGACTTCATTTAAACTAACTTATGATAAAACTACAGATCTAGTTTGTTAGCAAAACCACAGTTTATGGAAACCAGACTTTTTTTTTTTTTAACCACAAAGAGAATTAGAGATTTTTTTCCTCATTGTAGATAGCCCCAGTTGAACAGAACTAAGAACACTGGTTTTGTGTTAGGAGAACTGCAACTATGGATTAATATTATTTCATAAGAGGGGGAAGGATGTTATCCAATCTGCAGGGAGTTTTCAATGCCAATGACCATGTTGGATTTATAGAAGAAATTATATTTGTACTTATATCGGGATGTAAAGCACTACACTGTTGGAAGAATTTGGAGAAAATCCTAAAGATAAGACAAACTTTGGCCAAGAGTCTACTAGCTAAACCATGCTTCCTGTAACTCCAATCTTTGCTTCTCTCACTTGAAAACTTCTTAGGGGAATATGGCACCTACAGGATTAGTTAAAGGGGCCTTGCATCAAGAATAATTTCAGTTATTAGCTCTTTCTGGTTAAGAGTTAAAGAAAAGTTGATACATCTATTGATGGCAAATCTGCCAGAATATTATTTAAAATAGTATCAGCATAAGGGGCGTAGGAGATACTGTTGCCTTTGTATAGTAAAGGAGTCCTTTTCCACATGCAATCTGTAGCCCTTTAATTATGATAAAACATACTTTTTAAAGGGAAGAAGAAATAAGCCCAAATAATTGACATTAAATAAAGAAAATACTATGACTTTCTTTCTTTCTAAAAACTAGAGAACACTCTTCAGATAGGCCTTGACCTATGAGCTATCTGGTGGCTATTTAATCCCAATTAAAGAAAGCAAAATCAATTCTGAGGGAATGTTCATACATTTATATGATATCATGGTTATGCCATGATATTCCAGAATACAATGTTCACAAACTATTATAAATACTATTAGTGAAATGAATTGGTTATTATGATATTTTAATTTTTGCAGGTTTTGAAGGTTTCTCCAAGAAGACCTTCATGTCCATGATGACATGCTGGGTTATAATCATCAGAATTAAAAGGCTGTCCCATCCATTGGGTCACAGTTTGAGTTATAGAGCTACACTATAGGGCAAAAGAAACATCACATATCTCTTGAATCTGAGCAAAATAATAAGTGACGGCCACAAGGATATTTATAAAATCCCCAAAGCCAGATAATCTGTGCATGCATCTTACCTTTCTTTTGCGAAGCCTGACGGGGTTGTCTGTGGGCTCCTGGGTGGCCAGAGTTTCCTTTAAGTGTAAACACTGCATGCCATCTCCTGAGCTGACCTGTGGGAGACTTTTGTTTTGATGTTCTGAGAAACCACTCTTCTTGATGCCATTTTCAGCTGACATTCCACTAGGGCAGGAAGGAGGTTGCAGGAGGCAGCTTCCAGAATCTGCTTTTAATAACGGCAGTCCTCTGTCCATGCAAGGAAGAGCCGAGAACTCACCCTGTACTACATTGCAGGTGTTTCTTCCATGTTCATCTTTAGGGAAGTCAAGTTTCCTTCGTTGCTGAGCAATTACAGCAGAATTAAACAATTGCTTCTCAGGCACAATATCTTTCACATTCGAAGAGTCACATGCATTTATCTTATTAGATGCATCTTTTCTTTCACTTAAGCTTATATCATTACAAAACTCCAGGCTTTCACTTACAATGTCAACAACTTTTTTCTCCTCCCTTTCTTCTACCAGTGCTGAGTCAGATCCAGCAGCCATTCTCCAGGAATTACTTGGGTGACCTTCCATGATGGGCAGCATCTTTACTGAGGAGCCTGCTCCTCTGTTGCTCTGTTTGTCTGATATTTTTTGTCCTTGGGCAGTTAACATCTGTTTATCATCTGTAATATATGGATCGGAATCGGTATCCTCATCAGAAACATGCACTAGTGTTTCTGTGCTGGCCTCCAGAGAAAGAAACTGATCTTCACCTTCGTGGCTGTCATTTTCATCCACCTCTTTTGAAATGTGACCCATGGGCCTCCCAGGAAAGTCTCTCAGCTCTGAACCATGGCAGCAGTCCGGTAGTGAAACACACCTCTCTTTACGATCCACATTTAAAGATGCATCTTTTTCCATACTTGCCTGCAAGCTGTCAGCTACTAGTCCATGATGACATGCTGGGTTATAATCATCAGAATTAAAAGGCTGTCCCATCCATTGGGTCACATGTTCTTCCCAGCTTCTCTTTCTGATAGCTACAGACATGTCATCGTAGTTTAACAACAGTTAGAGAGATACGTTCCATATGAGACTAGAGGAGATGGAACTTGATGAAAGATGACTTCATACGCACTGACTGAAGAAGAGAGTGAGTTTTGTCATTTCATCACCTATTAAAAAAATGTAAAAATATATATATAGTTCAGGATCATCATTCTCAAGTCAAAATATATGTTGGAAAAGAGAGCATTTAATCTGTGCTATGAAAGATTAAGTAAGAGATCTTACAAAGCTTCTATTCAATGGCTTTAATGATGTTACTTCTTTAAGAAGTCGCCTCACATTAGAACAAAATTTCGCATTTAATATTTCTGGTCAAAAAACAATGACAACACTTTAAATGCAGCTGGATTGATTGACCTACTAATGAATGAAGATATAAGTACTGAATGTTTGAAACTCCCTTAAGAACATATTTGCATTGCAGGACTTAATAAAATTCACCAGAAGAAACTTCTTGCTTTAGCTTCCATGCTTTTGTGCTTTACTTTTATGAACACGAGTCCTTATAGAAATCTATTTGCTGTTTGGCTTGAATTGCAGCAAAGGCCACCAGGGAACCGTTCATGCAAAATTTGAGCCATAGAGACAGCATGTGCAATGTCTTAGTTTGTGAAAGAGCTAACATGGATCCCAAACTCCCAGGATGTAATTTACTCCAGGGAGTGACTAAGAAGCATGGAACAATCTAGTTTAGCTCCTATTAACACGTAATTCATAAGAAAGTGTAACGCAGACCACTGACCATGCCTTAGGATAAATACATTTATATGCATGCTATCACTGTTACTACTAGCTAGCAAGCTCGTTTTGTTGAAGCTTAAAGACATTATATAAGTTGCCCAAGGTCAAACATCCAGGAAGTATGCCAGGATTCAAACTAGACCCTGGTTCTAACTTAGACAGCCAACAAACTTCACTGTTTCCATGGAATGAGATTCTACCCGTGCCCCTTCCCTCCACCTAGCTTTAGTATGTATAAAATCTAAACTCCTTAGGTAGGAATTCAGCAAACCAAAAAGAAGATGTGAGCATGATAAAACAATTGGGACAATTCCTCAGAAATTTCAGTCGCATTCTTTTTGGCTTCTAAGGAGTTTAGTTTGTATACTGCTATTAGAATTTGACCATAAAAATGTAAGTAAACCAGAAAACCAGGCCTAAGATAAGGTAGAATATAAACACATTCCAGGTAGCCTTCCCCTTTTTGCCCTGAATTATTCAAACCCTCAGTTCAAGGAAACAAATTATACCAATGTAAACTGAACTTTACAAAAAATGACTAACCCAAATGTTGTCCCATAATGAAACCAAATTATTGGACCATAAAAGAAAAATCCCGTTCAAAAGAGCAGACACTTCTAGTTTTTCCTCCACACAAGAACTGTCAGGACATAACATGGATTGGCTTATTGATTTCGGCCATAAACAAGATTAACTGCTGTGCTGGTTTTGGGTCACTTCAGTCTATTGAAAAAGATTCTGAGTCCCTACCAAAAATTTCAAACTATTCTGACTAAGCACTTGCCAGAAAGGTAAATAGTCCCATCCTGTGAAGACCAGCGGAGTTAAGGAATGTGCTAGAATTTGGTACCCTAGCTGACCAAATATCTTTCTGGATACTATCAGGTTCCCTCAAAGGTCTGTGACCATTTGAAAATGGTCAGCCTGCACATTTTCCATGTTGGCATTCGTTTTGTACTCAAAAGAAAATATAAAGTCCCCGAATTCCATGCATAAGTCATTATAGTGTGGGAGGCTACGGAGAGTGGAAAAAACGCATAGATGCAGGCCAGAAAATTTCTGCTTTCATGGGCAAATTTGGGTTGTAATAGGGCGGTTCTGTTTTAGATGCTTTCTTTTCTTTATTTTTATCCAGTGTAGAGAGAGCAGGCTAACTTAAGAAATGCCAAGTGGTATTACTGTGTCATTCCTAAGCCACATTTACATTTGAGACTAAATTCTGGATTCATTTCTTTAACTAAAAAAATTGAGTTTTATTAACTCCTTGGGGGGACAGATTACATAAAAGTTTTACCCTTAGGACTTTACCATAATATTAATTTATTTCACTCAACCTTGGCAAATAGGTGAGTGTTTTCATAATGTCAAAGGAAGACAGTTCAACAAATTCTGAACCACCTAGTTGCTAAGAGAGATTGTAAATTAGGTAGATTGAACACATGAAAGCATTAAAACTCCTTCTGTCCTGCTCATCTAGGTTCTTTGGACATTTTCAAATCATTCCTGTGAATGTATAGTTTCTATATTTTTTTAAGACAAAACTTCCTAATTATCCTTATGACCATCATCTCTACATTTTCAGGGCTCATTCCATATCCTGTGATCTGATAGATTTTTAAAAATTTTCTCTCTTCAAACTTTGTTATTCACACTTCCTATTTAAATATTATTTATATGCTCTATAGTTAAAATCTGCCTCCATGATCTAAAGCTTAACAGATAATTAAGAAGAGGGAATACCAGATTACTGTCAGTCACATCTGAGCATATTGGCCTCATTTTCTAAATCATCTGAATTGACTAGAATCCATCCTATAAGTTATAGATGTCTTTGTAAAAGACTTGATTTTTCCCTATCAGTCTCCTCATCAGACTGCTCTCTTTAAAACTATATATCTATTTTGCAAATATCAGCTATCTATTTTGCAAATTTCTGTTACATTTTCTTGGTAATCCTTTTTGTGCATTTTCATTCAGAATGAGCTCAGCTGCTGAGGATTTGGATGAAGGATCTGGAAAAGTATAGGTCATTGCAGGATGTTGATTTTATGAAGTGAATTTCCATGGGGATTTTTGACTTCTTAAATGCATGTGGTCAAACACCACTATATTCATATTACAAGAGACTCTACATACCTCTAATGTTGTAACAATTCTGGAAAATGTTTGTAAAATGTCCAAATTTGCTTTTTGTAATATTAGTGCATAAGATGTTTAGATGCAAATTAATTTCAAATTTATTATTTGAGTTAATTTTGTAACATCACTCCTTAACATAAGCATTTTATGCCATACAGTATTTTAAAGTTAATTGAAACTAAACGTAATTATATTAAATGACAACAGCAATTGGAGACATTCTAGTTTGAGAATCACTGACCTATATCTCATATCAAATGATCATGCTCTCCTTTGCACCTGCTTCTGAAATAAACACATTCTATATTTTGGCCTAGCAATTGTCCTTAGAGAAGATTCTGATGATCATCACCAGTGCTCATTCTATAGCCTGGGAGAATATGATGCAAATAAAGCACTTGTGGCTGAAATCAAGTGGGCAGGAATGAAGAACTGATAGTAACGCTGCCTGGCCAAGATCAATTCTTCAATCCTTGTTTATTTAGTGCCCAGTGGGCCACAGACACTCTTCTAAAGATTAGTGATATAAACCTAAATAATATATTTCACCTTTCCTAAAGGAGCTTACAATTTTATGGGAGAAACTCATGTAGAGAAAAATAATATGTCATCTCATGGCCACAAATATCATGTAAAGTTTAACATAAAGCATAGGGTCATCAGTTTCCCCTTCCTCCCTCCCTCTCTCCTTCCTTCCTCTTTCTTTTCTTTTCTTTCTTTCCTTCCTTCCTTCCTCCCTCCCTCCCTTTTTTTTCAATAGTGAGTCCTGTGGGATGATGGAAATGTTAGGTAGGTCTTCCGGAGGAGAAAACCCCTAAATGAGGCCCTCTGTGGTAAATTTCCTGCCTCCACAACATCCAGATCAAATGGGAGCTGAGGTTCAGAGTTTCACTGTTCTAGAATCACCTCTTTGGGAAAGATGGCAGAGGCAACAATAAATTCCAGAGAATTACTAACAATTTGAAAACCCATTTGACATCTTGGAGGGGAACTACATTTCTCAGGTGCATTCAGAGAAAATTGAGGGGAGAGATTTAAAAAAAAATTTTTTTTTCAGAAAATTTCACAGACCTGTCTTCAGATTCAAGGGAATTTGTGGAGTATGCAGTAATACAAGAAATAAAAATAGACCACACCAAGAAACATTATTGTGAAATTTCACAACTTTAGAGGTAAGCAAATGAACGTAAATGTTATCAGAGAAAGAGAGAAAAGAGGTTATATATTATGCATTGGGAATCTCAATGTTGTTGGATTTCTTAATAGCAAAACTGGAAACAAGACAGGCAAATATATCTTCAAAATTCTGATGGGAACTTATTTCTACCTTAAAGTTATATGAGGAGACTGAAAAATATCCCCCCTCTTCTCAAGAAGCTACTGGAGGGATAGTTCTACCCAAATAAGAGAATAAATAAAATGGAGAAGACATGGCAACAAGGGAGGCAGAAACTCAACACAAAGACCAGGGGATGGGATTGCAGCAGGCCTAGCAGGCAATCATTTCACATAAACCCTAAAGTTCTCCACAAGAGATATCCATAAGGAAAAAACCATGGAAATAATAGATTATATGAGGTATGTGACCACACTGAGAGGAATTTATAATAAAGTCAAACAATTTAGGTGGAAGAGTTAGTAATATTTACATAGAAAACCAAAAATCAATTATTACCTCCAGGAAACACAGGGTTTTAAAAGAAAGGAAATATAATCATAGTACACTACCTGGCTTAGCTGTGAATTTTTTGTGTAGCCAAATAATGCAAACAGCAAATACTGACTTAATAAAAAATTATGAAAGCAACTATTTTTGAAGCATAAAATTTTTGTAGGGGATGGGGTTAGGGATGCTGGGAAGGATAGTCTCAGAGAGCTGACTCTTCATTTTCCATAATAGGAATTTAACAAATAACGTCTAAAATGGGAAAAAATATAGTATAATCATACTGTTTAGAAATATGGAGGTAATAGGAGAAACAGCTAAAGAGAGTTTAAATTGTTATAATTCTGTGTGGTATTTGCTTGAGGCAAAAAAACACAAAATTTCCGAATCTCAGAAAGCATGTTAAATAATAATCTAAATTTAATCTAAGTTTTAATATGTTCCACAGCAGTAATTTTAAGATTGACTTGATACATAAACACGTCTACATTTCCTCTACAATATGTCCAATAGGACCCCAATATTCCCTGTATTCCTTTCCCTCCTCACCATACCACCCCC